AAACCTAAATGCCATGGTTGTGGGAAGCCTGGACATATGATCAGAGATTGCTATGGACACAAGAATGTGCAGAGAGTGAATTATGCAAATCAGGAGGAAGATTGTGGCACTTTGTTTTATGTGTGTAATGCTGCAACTGATGTGAAGGTAAATCACTCTTGGTATATTGACAGTGGTTGTAGTAACCACATGACAGGAGATGAGGGACTTTTGGTCAATATTCAAAGGAATTTGAGCTCTAAGGTGAAGATGGGAACTGGAGAAGTGGTCCCAGTTACTGGAAAAGGGAGTTTGGTGATAAAAACTAAGTTAGGCAAGAAGCACATTCATGAAGTAATGTTTGTACCTGGCCTTGAAGAAAATCTACTTAGTGTTGGGCAAATGATGGAACATGGCTATCACCTTGTGTTTGGAGGAAATGAGGTGAGTGTTTATGACAATCAGTCACTAGAAAATCTGATTGTGAAGGTGCAGATGACAAATAACAGATGCTTTCCATTGACAATGATGCCTGCGAGTGAGTTGGTTCTAAAAGCAAGTGTCACCCATTGCTTGCAGACATGGCATAAAAGGCTAGGGCATTTAAATGAAAGAAGTATAAAATTGCTTGAGAATCAAGGGATGGTTCATGGCTTACCTCACTTGGAGCAGAAGTCAGTTGTATGTGATGGTTGTATGCTTGGAAAACAGCATAGGGATTCTTTCCCTTTGGAATCCACTTGGAGAGCTTCAAACCCTTTGGAATTGGTTCACACAGACATCTGTGGACCAATGAAAACAGAATCATTATCTGGAAACAGGTACTTTCTACTGTTTACAGATGATTTTACTAGAATGTCATGGGTGTACTTCATCAGAAATAAGTCAAGTGCATTGGAATGTTTTAGAAAATTCAAAGCTATGACTGAGCTGCAAAGTGGGTATAAGATAAAAGGCTTGAGAAGTGACAGGGGTGGAGAGTTTCTATCTGGAGAATTCAACAAGTTTTGTGAGGAATCTGGTATTCAAAGGCAGCTAACTATGGCATATTCTCCACAGCAAAATGGAGTGGCCGAGAGGAAGAACAGGACAGTAGTGGAAATGGCCAAGTCCATGTTGCATGAGAAAGGTGTTCCCTATGAGTTTTGGGCAGAAGCTGTAAATACAGCAGTCTATTTGCTAAATAGATGTCCTACCAAGGCTCTTAACAAGATAACACCATTTGAAGCTTTTACTGGCAGAAAACCAGGAATTGCTCATTTAAAAATATTTGGATCACCTTGTCATGTGCTTATTCCTTCAGCATTGAGGCATAAGTTTGAAGAAAACAGTCACAAGTGTATTTTTGTAGGCTATGGTCTCTGTGAAAAGGGATATAGGCTGTTTGATCCAAGTACTAGGAAGATAATTCTGTCCAGAGATGTGCAATTTGATGAAAATGGCTTATGGAAGTGGGAAAATACAAATGAAGAAGAGATGGTAGTCCCTTTGCCTACTGAGAATCAAAGCTGTGAACCAAGTCAAAGCTTGGATACATCACTGCAAATGAATGAAGAAGTCACATTACGAGCTGAACCAAGTCAAAGCTTGGATACACAAACTCAAATAGTTGAAGATACCACTCTGCAAGATGAAGGCATGGGTGAAAGTTCTCATTTCTTTGATCACACACCAAAGAAATGGAGAAGTGTAAGTGAAATCATGGCTGAATGTAATGTGTGTATTGTGGAACCTGAAAATTATGAAGATGCAACTCAAGATGAGTCATGGAGAAAGGCAATGGAAGCTGAACTGGAAATGATAGAAAAAAATGACACTTGGGAACTTGTCGAGAGACCATTTGCTAAACCCGTGATTGGTGTTAAGTGGGTCTACAAGACTAAACTGAACCTAGATGGTACTGTGCAGAAAAACAAGGCTCGTTTAGTGGCTAAAGGCTACTCACAAAAGCCCGGTATTGATTACAATGAGACTTTTGCCCCTGTGGCAAGGCTAGACACCATTAGGACTTTGATTGCTCTTGCAGCACAAAAGGAATGGTACCTATTTCAACTGGATGTGAAGTCTGCCTTTCTCAATGGCATTCTAAAGGAGGAAGTTTATGTTGAACAACCTCAAGGATATGTTCAAGAGAGCAAGGAAACCAAGGTGTACATGTTGAACAAGGCTCTATATGGACTGAAACAAGCCCCAAGGGCCTGGTATGATGAAATAGATGCCTATTTCAACACTGCAGGTTTTAAGAAGAGCTTAAGTGAAGCTACTCTCTATATCAAAACAAGTGACACCTCAGGTATTATCATTGTCTCACTCTATGTAGATGACATTATATATACTGGAAGCTGTCCTAAAATGCTTGAAGAGTTTAAACAAGATATGATGCAACACTATGAGATGACAGACTTGGGTATGTTGCACCATTTTCTTGGCATGGGAGTGGAACAAACTGATAAGCATATTTTCATTCATCAAAAGAAATATGCCATGAAAATTCTTGAGAAGTTTGGAATGAGAGACTGCAAGTCAGTGGCAATTCCATTAGTGGTGAATGAGAAATTGTGTAGAGAAGATGGAAGTGAAGCAGCAGATGAAAATGAATTCAGACAGATTGTAGGGAGTCTGCTTTATCTGACTGCCACAAGACCAGATGACATGTTTGCATCTAGCTTGCTTGCTAGATTTATGCACAATCCCTCAAAGAAACACATGGGAACTGCTAAAAGGGTGCTGAGATACATACAAGGCACATTAGATTTTGGAATTGAATTTGCAAAGGGGAAAACAGCTACTCTAATTGGGTATTGTGACAGTGACTGGGCTGGGAGTGAGGATGATATGAGGAGCACCTCAGGATATGCCTTCACACTAGGCTCAGGCATGTTCTCTTGGGCTTCCATCAAGCAAAACACAGTTGCTTTATCTACAGCCGAAGCTGAGTATGTGAGCGCTGCAGAAGCAACTTCACAAGCTAAGTGGCTCAGATTTGTGCTTGAAGATTTTGGTGAAGAACAGGTAGAAGGGACTCCAATTCTATGTGACAACACCTCTGCAATTGCAATGGCAAGGAATCCAGTTCATCACCAAAAGACAAG